TTCAAGATTTCATAGCCATTACTATATAAGAATCTGATGAACAACCGAAAATGTTACGGATATAGCGCATTGGAGACGGTTTTCAGTTGCACACTATCCAAGATGACGTAATAATAAACAAACGTTTTGAACCTTGTTTTCATGAGACACTCCAGTCCAAATGCCAAAAAATACTACCCTCTGCTGTTCATGCGGTCAAATCAACGGTACTACGCGCATCCACTTTCTTAGACACGAACAATGACCTCGATTCTATAGCCAGATTGATCAGAGTAACTAACTCTCCAGTCTAGACATATTTGCTTCATAAAGTTCTGCCAGCCTTTCCGATAATATTACCTCGTTAATGGACCAGAAGTCGCAGCTGCGATGGTTTGGGCGTGTTGCGAATGCCTCCAGAAAGGAAGGCTAAGCAACTGTTCCTTGCAAATCCGACCGGCAGAAGGCCCGGGGGACGGTCAAGATTCACCTGATGCAAATATATGGAAGGAGTCTGTTCCAAACTCGAGTTGTCTTCTGCCTAAGCTCAGACTCTGGTACAGGATCGGGAACGTTGGAAGCTCTGCCTTTCTCCGCGATCCGAAAGGAGTAGCGGCCATGGAAGTTGAAGAATGAAGAATAATGGACCATTTTCAATGTAAGACTTCATCGGAACCAGAGCAGATAGCGAGAATATATCCTGTTGCATGTTATTCAAGAAGGTGATTTCATACTAATTTATGCTCATGATCCATTACACTAAGCACATCGTTACTTTATGAAGATGCTGTATGGTAGACTCTATTTTGCATAAGGCATTCGTTGGAACTTTGTTTTGTTTCGTTAAAGCCCATTATATTCTAACTAACCACGCGGACAGGGTGAGCCAGTCCAATGTGTGGTTAATCTTAGATAATTACCTCGTTTTCTACGATTTTTGGTTATCCAGTCTAAGCCGAGTGGGAAAGCCTTTCTGTTTCCTTATCTGATTACAGTGACAAATAGAAGAATAGAATTTAAATAATTTCATTCGTGGTCATACTGAAAAATAGCATAAAATATGGTTTATTAATATACCAAGCAAAAAATGATATGGCCAATCAGATGATTGGCCACTACTGACACTTCGGTCCGTATCTCACGAGCCTTCATCAAGGTAGGAGTTTAGTAAAGTTACGGAGGTTCTTCTTGTTCTCCGCAGCGGTCGATAGTTTTGTAGTCACGAAGCATGCTTTCGGTCAGGGCTGCTGGTTAAATAGTTTCTCGAAAACGAGGCTCATCCAATCCGCGCAGAGTTCGTATCCTTTGTCACGGTTGACTTCTTCGCAAAATGATTAATGAAACCTTTATCCGCCGGTGTAGCCAATGTTTCTCTTTGATGATACCGCTGCACTCAGACCATCGGGCGTCGTGTTCTTGATGTGCTGCATGCCCGCAATTCTGGAGGTCTTCTCGCGTTGTTCTTTGACTTTGTTAGGAGCGAGGCTCTGT